TTAGCTGCAGTACAAAAAGTTTCATTCAAAGGTCAGTGTTAGTAGATACTTTGTATTTCTCGTATACTATTCTATGTACTAATATTTTATTTTAATTTAATTGTGGGGGGAAACTGAAAGGGGGCACACCTGGTTATATACTCAGAGGCTTCTCATGGGTTGGTGCTCGCTGAACCATATGTGGTACTTGGGTCTCTTGCATGCAGAGCATATGTCTTAGTCCTTTGAACTGTCTCTCTGATGCATTTGTTCAAATACAAATTAAACTCCTTTTGAAAATACAATACACAAAGAACACTTATTTTATACCTGAGCTCAATATTTGCCCACTGACAAGTGACAGGTCTAACAAATCTCTTCTTGCCCTGCTAGATGGAGCTTAGTTTGTTCCCGTATTAATCAGCACCTAAAGAATACTTCGTGTAGTCATTCTTAGCTGTTGATATGGTTCCATATTAGATACACAACCAAATCTTCTCTGTTTCCTCATTCTCTTCTTCATTACATAGAGGTAGATCTGAAAACAAACAAAACAAAAAAAATAACAGGCTTTCTAATTTCTGTTCTTATCCCTTTTATAAAGGTCCTCAAACCAGAAATAAGTAATAAAAGGTCCTGTAATTAGGCACACTTTTACCAGCTAAGAGACCATGAAATTTGCTTCATTTATAGCATGAGGCTACTGTCTATTTTACACAATTGGATATATTTTGTGTGTGTGTACACGTGCATGTGCAGGGGACAGGGACCACACCTGATAGTGCACAGGTGACAGTGGGGATGCAAGGCAAGTTCCTTACTGTCTCTCTGGTTCATACAGTTACTTATTTTTTTAATTCAGTCACCATGGTATTACAAAGTTATTCATGATTTGGTTTCTGACATAAGTGTTTCATCACTAATCCCTTCACCAGTGTCCATTCCCTCCACCAACGCCCTCCCCGTCCCCTCTTGCCTCCCACTCACCAGTCTGCCTCTATGAGAGGAGCTTTCTAAATACATTGAGGCCAAGCCATAGTACAGCAGGTAGGGCACTTACCTTGCACACAGACAACCTGGGTTTGATTCTTGGCATCCCATATGGTCCCCTGAGCACCACCAGGAGTAATTCCTGAGTGCAGAGCCATAAGTAACCCCCTGAGCACTGCTGGGTGTTCTGTATATAGCCTCCCACCCACAGTCTGCTTCTAAGAGAGGTGCTTTACTAAAATGTGTATAGTTTGTTTTTATCTTTTATGGCTAAGTAATATTCCATTATGTATATGTACCTTTGTTTCTTTATCCAGTCGTCTATTCTTGTACAGTTGGGTTGTTTCCAGATTTTGGCTATTGTGAATAGTGTTGTAAGGAACATAGGAGTGCCAGTGTCTTCTCCGTTTTGTTTTTGGGCCCTTGGGGTATATTCCAAGAAGTGGGGTTACAAGGTCAAATGGAAGCTCAATTCCTAGATGTTTTAGGAATGTCTATATTGTTTTCCAGAAAGGCTGGACCAGTTACCATTTCCCCAGCAGTGAGTGAGAGTCTGTTTCTCCCCGAATCCACTCCAGCTTTGGTTCTTGCTTTTTTTGTGTGCCAGTCTCTGTGATGTAGATATCTCATTATTGTTTTGATTCGCATCTCCCTGATGGATGATTAATGATGCAGAGCATTTTTTCATGTGCCATTGGCCTTTTGTATTTCTTCTTTGAGAAATACAGTTATTTTTAAGATAAAACTGCATTGTAAAAGAAAAAAAGAAAGAACCCCCCCCCCCAAAAAAAAAAGAAAAAGAAAGAAAACTGCATTGTACTATGGTAGTGTTCTCACATGTGGTGCCAGGGATCAAGCTCTTGTGCAAGGCTTGCTGTCTCCCCACCTTGTCTTGCCAAAAGAGAAGTTTTAATGAAGTCCCTTTCATGCTTCTTGGAGAACTTGTTTCAAGGCTATGAATTCCCGAAGCCATTTCCCGCCCATGGTATTCTGTATCTTTCTTTCAAATCCAAATGATGATTTAGCTGGATTGTATTCTTGGTGAGGTGTTTGTTTCATTGGGGGGGTGCAGTGGTGTGGGCCACACCCTTCGATGCTCAGTGGCTTTCTCCTGGCTCTAACTCAGGAATCACTCTTGGAAGTGCTCAGGGGACCATATGGGGTGCCAGGAATTGAACCCTGATCACCAGCTATACCAGATATCTCCAGCCACATGTTTTATTTTTTGTTTATGGCCACACCTGGCAGTTCTCAGGGCTTACTTCTGCTTCTGTGCTCATTCTTGGTGGTGCTCTGGGTACCATATGGGGACCCAGCGGTGTGAATCCTGGTTGGTCACATACAAGACACGTGCCCTGCGCTATATTATTTCTCTGGCCCGTTATTTTATCTTGATCTTGCTGCTTTGGATATTCTGTCTCTCTCTTTGGCTTTTGTAATTCTTACTAGAATGTGTCTTAAAATTCTTCTATTTTGGTCTATTTTTGTTGGGACCCTTTGGGCTTGCCTACACTCACTAACTCTGGGAATCTTTTTGGTTGGTTGGTGGTCACACCTGGCAGTGGTCAGGGGTTAGTTATTCCTGGTCCTGCATTCAGGAATTTCACCTGGCAGTGTTTGTGGGGACCATATGGAATGCAGGGATCAGATGAGCTGGCCACATGCAAGGCAAGTGCCTCCTTACCTGATGTACTTATCCAGCCTCAATTCTGGGAAATTTTTTGTTTTTGTTGTTGTTGGACCACTCCCAGTGGTGCTCAGACCTTACTTATGGTTTTGCACTCAGGAGGAGCACTCTGGGTGGTCTGGGGGGACCAGTCAGCCTGTTATACTCCAGCGCACTGGGAAATCCTATTTATTTATTTATTTTGCTTTTGGGGTCACACCTGGCGATGCACAGGGGTTACTCCTGGCTCTGCACTCAGGAGTTACTCCTGGCGGTGCTCGGGGGATCATATAGGATGCTGGGAATCGAACCCGGGTCAGCCGTGTGCAAGGCAAACGCCCTACCTGCTGTGCTATCTCTCCAGCCCTGGGAAATCCTTAATCCTTATCTATGATTTCTTTGTAATTCTTCATTACATTTGTCTTCCTGTTCTTCCGGGAGTCTAATGATTTTTACATTGTTCCTTTTGACCTTACTCCATAGTCCTCTGATGTACTGTTCATTTCCTTTCAAACTTTGTTGCATTTTTCTGTTGTTTTCTAGAGATTTCCTGTATATCATTTTGGAGTTTCTTGATCTTTTCCTCAGCTACTCTTTTTTTTTTCTCTCTCTTTCTTTTTGGGTCACACCCGGCGATGCACAGGGGTTCCTCCTGGCTCTGCATTCAGGAGTCACTCCTGGCGGTGCTCAGGGGACCATATGGGATGCTGGGAATCGAACCCAGGTTGGTCGCATGCAAGGCAAACACCCTACCCGCTGTGCTATCTCTCCAGCCCCCACCTCAGCTACTCTTAATCTGCTTCTCAAATCATGTATTGCATTTTAACATCAACTACTAGACTCTTTGTTTATAGCAGTTTTGATTATAGTTTCTCATTTCTGCTGTCATACTTTGGAAAGCAGGGTGGGTAGCCCACACCCAGTGATGCTCAGGGATCATTCCTGGTAGGGCACACAGGATCCTCAATATTGAGTCACTAATGTCATTCTCTAAGAGCTTACAGAGCTGATTGGTGCTGTAATTGTCTTGTAATTGTATTTTGCTCATTTAGCTTTGTAGTTGTCCCTTGTGGGAGGCTCTTTTCCTTTCATACTTGTCTTGACTCAATGAGTTAAAGTGAAAGTGTGAGGTGTGATGAGTCAGGTTACCGCCTCAGAAGACGTGGGGGTGGGCCTGCTGGGATGGCCAAAGGTCCAGTGTGAAGACTTGTCACCCATCTGGAAAGGAGGGGAATCTGCTGCCAGTTCTAAAAAGCCTCTGAGATATCAACTGGGAAGTCAACCTCACCTGGAGGATCGGAGGAGCAAGCAGAGGTTTAGGAGATGTGAAGGCGGGTCTGCTGGGATCACCTGGGGATTTTGTTAAGGAAGATTCCAACTTTGTAGGCCTAGGGTGGGACTCAAGATTTGAACGCACTTCTTGAATATGATGCATGCACTCAGTCCATAGCATGTGCTCTCTGACCCTAGAAATTGCTGATTCTGAAGCTTAGGTGCAATTAGGGAAGCCAGGGGAAAAACAGGGAAGAGCCTTTCTTTCCTCTGCCTCTCCCCTCCTCTTTCACCTCCTCTTCCTCCCCTCTCCTCCTGTTGATGTTCAGGGATTTATTTTTTTTCTGGTTTTGCTTTCCTTTTTTATTTTGATTTTTGGGGGTCACACCTGGCGATGCTTAGGGGTTACTTCTGGCTCTGCACTCAGGAATTACTCCTGGCAGTGTTTGGGGGACCATTATGAGATGTTAGGGATCAAACCCAGCTTAGCGGCATGCAGGACAAACACCTTAGCCACTGCTTTTATTGCTCCAGCCCTTCAGGGATTATTTTTCATGATGCTCAGGGGACTGTATGCTGTGCTATTTTCCAATATGAGTCAGTTCTCAAGTCTAGGACAATATCAAAAGGTCTGCCTCAGGGCCAGAGCAGTAGTACTGTGGGTAGGGCATTTGCCTTGCACGAAACACCTGAGCTCAATTCTGGCATCCTATAAACCAGCAGGTAGGACATTTGCACCACCATGAGTAATTTCTGAATGCAGAGCAGGAAGTCACCCCTGGGAATTACTGGGTGTGGGCGAAAAAATAATACAAACCTGCCTCTCAGCCAAGGTTTTTTTGTTCTGTTTTGATTGGGGGAGTGGGGTCCGGGACACACTGGCAGTGCTTCCTTGTGACTCCTGGCTCTGTGCTCAGGAATTGAACCTGGTTGTCCACGTGCCAAGTGCCCTGGCTACTGTACTGTCTCTCCTACCCCACTCCGCCAAGTATTCACCCTTTTTCTTCTTCTCATCAGCTCCCTATTGTATCTTGCTTGCTTTCATACTTAGCGAACTATATTTAGGATGGACTTTTGGGTCTTCTCATTACAGGTTCATTGCCAAACCCTGTGCACTCCACATTGGCATCCAGGACAGTGGTCCGTATGTGGTCCAACCCAATGCCATACTTGAGAAGGTGTTTATATCTATGACCAAGGTAAGTGGGCAGAGAAACAGAGGAAAACTCACTTAAGTTGCCCTGTAGGGCAGGGAAAGATAAGGAGCCAGTTTCTCGTAAGAGTAGGATAGGATGGTCTGGTTTTTCACATTTGGGTAGAGTACGTTGAGGAGAACTTTATACTCTTGGAGAAATACCTTTGAATTTCTCTCTTTTTTGGGGGGGCCGGGTGGGGTTCACAGAAGCTTTTATGTTGTAGAGCCCTGAGCCACCTCCTCCCGTTCCCCCTGACACTAGCATGTCTTGGTTATCCCATGCTCCAGCATGCCATTGCCTAGTAGCATAACGGAGATCACAGCATTACTGATCGCTTTTGCAGTTTGGGGTTTTTAGTATGTTTCTTCCCCCCACCCATCTCGGGCTAGAGGGAGAAAATCACACAACTAGGTGCGTAGACGATGTGGTAAATGCCTTAATGTGTCAAAAGGCCTTCTGTCTTAAAATGATTTTGAAATGAAACCTGGAAAGGTAACAGACCACCTCAGCCACTGGTTATCACCCCCTTTTTCTCTCTGCTAGTCGAGGGGATTTGATGAGAGGTGTGAAGAGTAAGGGTTGTTCTGACTCTGGTCATACATCTACAGTATCCTGATGAGAAAAGGCTGGAGGGCCTGTCCAAGCAACTGGACTGGGATGTTCGAAAAATCCAGTGCTGGTTTCGTCACCGGAGGAATCGGGAAAAGCCTCCAACGCTCACTAAATTCTGTGAAAGCATGTAGGTGTGCAGAGGAGGTGGGGAGTGAGAAGGGGGTGGAATATTGGAATATGGCTAGCCTGAGGTTTCCTTTTTTTGGAAATTACTTCTGTTTGGGGGGGACAATAGTCAGTGGGTGTTGCGGGCTAATTCATTATATTATAGCTAGCAAAAAAACGAGAACCGGAAAACGGATCACTACTGGCAAATACCGTGGGTGTTTGCCAGTAGGTTCGATGTAGTTCCCTTTTGTTTCCCTTTCCCAAGTAGATAGAAGTGAATTCCTGTAACTGTACTTTTATACTTAGGTAGATGTGGACATCTTTGCATGTTTTGATATATAGTGCCAGTTTACACTAAAAGGATATTTTGGTGGAAAGCATTCTTTTTCTGAAGATATAATTCATTTTTTGGGTTTTTACTAATTGTCCTCTAGAAACAGAATCCTGAGCTTTGTATTTATTATATGTATGTATATATAGCAGGCACTGTCACCAGGAGCCTGATGGATGGGGACTTATTAAATCCAGCGTACACTTACGGGAATCTCTTTTAACCAGACTCTGGAAGCTATCTATCTTTGCATTTTAGGTACCAGTATTTGTTCCTAGTCTGTTTCTTAACAGTTGTAATTCACAGTTTGCTTTTTTGGCTTCCCTAGCCTCAAAGACTTTGTTTGCTTTGAATGGATATTCATTTAACTTCTATCCTTTGTCCCCCTTCTAGGTGGAGATTCACTTTTTATTTATGTATATTTTGCTACGGAATTAGATTTCTCTGGTTGGTGAGTCTCTAGTTCTCTGTTGGTCAAGTACCTACTTTCCGTAATTTAGGTTTATGCTGAGTAGATAGCAAAAGTTTGTCCAGGGATTAACTTTCAGTAATCTCATAACTCTTGTCTCTCCCCTAAATAATGTTAATAGCAACAGTCTAGATGTGATGGTTCCAGAGTGTTTGACAAGTATCTTGTTTTTTGGGGTTTTTTTTTGGGGGGGGGGTTGTTGTACCACACCCATCTGTGCTCAGGATCTACTCCTGACTGCACCACAGGGATCACTCTGGGTGAAATGCATGAGAGGGAAGTGTTTTTCCTGCCTTACTGTCTCCATCCCTCTCTCCACCCCCAGTCTTACTTTTCAAAGGAGGAAACAGTTACAGAAATAGAATCAGTAATTCTTTAAAGTAGGTAGAACAGCAATTGGAGCAGTCGTGCATAGTCTATAGTTCAGCATGTAGGACTTGCCCATGGCCAAGCCAGGCTGGATTGCCAGCATCCCATATCATCCTCAGGAATCACTTCTGAGCACAGCCTGAGGGCAGAGACAGGAGTAACCAGCACCGGAGCAAGTGTGGCTTAAAAAACAAACAAAAAGTAGATAGACCAGGTATTCTTACTTTTATTTAATTGTCAGCACCGGAATATTTTTTTATACCTGATTCCATGCATGTTTTTACTTTACCACACTATTTTTTACTCTTTTTACTATTTTTTACTCTTTTTAAAAATAAATTTATCATTTGGTTTTTGGGCTACGCCTAGTGACGCTCAGAGTTTACTCCTGCCTCTACACTGAGGAGTTTCTCTTGGTGGTGCTCAGAGACCATACGGGATGCCAGTGATTGAATCTCAGATGGCAGCATGTAAGGCAAGCGCCCGACCTTCTGTACTATTTGTTCTGGCCCCCACCACAGTATTTTTATCTCCATGGTAGAATTTGGGACAGGGAGCAGAGGGGGGTGTCGGACTATCCCTGACTGTGCTCAGGAAATACTCCTGGCTCTGTACTTCTTCCTCTGGTGATGTTCACATCCAGGCAGCATTCCTAGATTTTATCACCAGCACCTACTACGGCCCTAAGAACCCGGCAAGGAGTGGCTCCTGAGTACAGCTGGGTTCCACCAGGAAGGGGGGAAAAATCATGTACCCCAACCCCTGAAGTTCATTTCCTGGCCTTACCAATCCTGTTGTCATTTAGAAGGAAAATAGTCCTGGGTTATGAAGTGATAGTACATTTGCCTTGCACACGGCCGACCTGGGTTCGATTCCCAGCATCCCATATGGTCCCCCAAGCACCGCCAGGAGTAACCTCTGAGCATCGCCAGGTGTGACCCCGAAAAGCAAAAAGAGAAAGAAAGAAAGAAAGAAAGAAAGAAAGAAAGAAAGAAAGAAAATAGGTCTGGGTTAATAATACAGGGTTTAAGGAGCTTTGCCTTGCATCCAACCCCAGTCTGTTTAATCCTCATCAAGACATATCATCGCTCAAGCACTGCCAAGAGTCAGTCCTGAGCATAGAACCAGGAATAGTACCTCAACAAAACTGGGTATGGCTCAACACCCCCCCCCAATCTAAAAAGGGGGAAGATAAGACAATATCATGGACAATTTAATGATAATTCAGCATTTAGGTGAAGTTGACTTCAAGGGCATACTTGAAATTTTTTTAGAAATTATTACTTTTGACTTTGAATTTTTGGCATCAAGATCTGTTATCAAATGTGGGATTATTGTTTTCCTGCTGCCCCAATCCCTGTATCCCAGTGGGATTTACTAGAGTTCTTCTCTTTTTTACCCCAGAGCATAATTTTTTCTCTTTGTACTTATCTTTTTTGTTGTTGTTCTAGAAGAAAAATCTTTTTACTGACCCTTTAACGATTCCTAATCCTCACAAAAGAGGGACCTTTTTCTTCCCCATCTCTTTTGCCCCTAGCCTAGAGAAAGGGTGCTTTACAAATAAGCCAAAAGAGAATCCTGAATACTAACCTGAGGATTGTCTGTTTTCTCGTAGTCTTCTTGGTTCTGGGACACGCGACAGTGCTGGTATGGCTATCCATATCAGGTAGGATCCGAATCCTTTCATGACATGGGCCTGTGTGTTCGGTTTGGGGAAGGGGAGCACTTTGCCAGTCTCAGACAGATGGCACATTTCCTTGCAATTTCTTGAGGAATTAGGGGCTGAATTCCTACGTAATTTATATTTAGGATATCTGCTTCCAAAGTCTATGCGGCAGTAAAATCTGCTGAACTTTTAGGTTTAGACTCTCCCATCATATTCATCCTAATTGGGCTGGGAAGAAAAATCGTTTCCTGGCAATTAATGAGGTATTTTCTGTTTCAGGTGCCCCTTTTTAATTGGGATAGCTTGGAGTCCCCTTGGGCACCTTGGTTTTAATACCTACTAAAAACGAACATTAGGGTCTGATATCAAAGTGAAAGAACAGAAGGCCTTATTTTATATATAATCCCATGAGAGCCCTAGTTACTCAGAATTCTAGGCACACTGAATGTGCTATAGTTTCTGATTTTTGAAAAGATGAAACCTAGGGGCTGGAGTGATAGTACAGTGGGTAGGGCATTTGCTTTGCGGCCAACCCAGGTTCGATCCCCGGCATCACTTAACAGTTCCTACAGCATCACCAAGAGTAATTCCTGAGTACAGAGCCAGGAATAACCCCTGAGCATTGCCGGGTGTGACCAAAAAAGCCGCGCAGCCCACCTACCCGCCCCCCCCCCAAAAAAAAAAAAGCAGCTTATATGGGCAGAGGATAGAGATTTAAGTCTTCACACCAATCCAAAGTTTGTTAGCTGTTGTGGATCTTGGGAAATTTGGGGAGGGAAGGTATATCAAATAATTTTTAATTCTGGTCCTCCCAGAGTTACAAAGATGAGAGAAATCTTTGAGTAGCTGATTTTCTAACTACTACTTTTTCTTCTTCCAGCCTCTCACAAATGGACTTTATTACTATTATATTATGGAATTGGCCTTTTATTGGTCTCTTATGTTTTCTCAGTTTACAGACATTAAAAGAAAGGTAAGAACTTTGGTTCCCGTATTTTTTTGTATCCTTCTTTAGTTCCCATTACTCAGATGTGATGGATTCTTGACCCTGACTAGAAGTATAAAAGCAAAATGTAGATTGGAATGAACTATTAGCTTTTCATAATGAAATTTGACAAATTGGGGCTGGAGAGGTAGCACAGCAGGTAGGGCGTTTGCCTTGCATGCGGCCGACCTAGGTTCAATTCCCAGCATCCCACATGGTCCCCTGAGCACCGCCAGGAGTAACTCCTGAGTGCAGAGCCAGGAGTAACCCCTGTGCATCGCCAAGTGTGACCCAAAAAGAAAAAGAGGAAAAAAAAGGAATTTGACAAATGGATGGAGTATTTATGAGATGCAGGGCATCTAAGGATGCGAGCAGTTTTCTACCAAGAAGTTAACCTTTGGGCAGGGGATATGGTTCAAATGGCTCTAGATTTGATTTCTAGGGGGTGCATATTAACAGTACCCCCACCCCACAATCAGTACCACTGGGCGCGTTCCTGATGGCCTCTAAGCATCTAAGCCCACCCTTCTCACCCCCTCACCACTCCAAAAAAGCATCCCCTTGGACTGGAGAGTTAGTACAAATGTTAAGGTACTTGCATGGTCTGCCGTTGACCCTGGTTTAATCTCCAGCACTGTGTATGGTTCCCTGAACGGACAGAGCCAGGAATAAGCCCTGAGTATAGCAGGATAGCCTGGTATAGCCCAAATAAATAAAGCACCAGGGTGGGGGGAAACCTGCCCTTTCCTTACTTTTTTCCAGTGTGTACGTATATGAGACTCAGTGACCCTACATGGGCTGGAGCGATAGCATAGCGGTAGGGCGTTTGCCTTGCACGCAGCCAACATGGCCGACCCGAGTTCGATTCCTCTGCCCCTCTCGGAGAGCCCGGCAAGCTACCGAGAGTATCTCGCCCGCACGGCAGAGCCTGGCAAGCTACCCAGGACGTACTCGATATGCCAAACACAGTAACAACAAGTCTCACGATGGAGACATTACTGGGCCCGCTCGAGCAAATCGATGAACAACAGGAGGATAGTGATAGTGACCCTACATATTATAAACTTAATCCAGAAATAGGCCTAACTGTAGAAAAGTTGGTTTGGTTTTTATTTGGCATTAGGCCTTTGTTCTCTTTATTGTGCCTTTTTTTTTCTTTTCTTTTTCTTAATTTTTTGATGAATCACCATGAGATACAGGTGCAAAGCTTTCATGTTTGAGTTTCAGTCATAACATGATCAGATCCCCATCCCTCCACCAGAGCGCATTTTCTGCCACCAGTGTCCTCAGCATTCCCTCCCCATCCCAGCCCTTCCCCTGCCTCTGTGGCAGACAATTTCCCCCATACTCTTTCTCTACTTTTGAGCATCATGATTTGCTCGCATTTTTCCACCACCATTCAAGCCTGCCGCCAAGAACAAATGCTAGATAATTGATTTCTCTAGTGCTTATTATGAATATCATGAGAGTGTATGGATTCTAAAATTGCAAATGGTTGGTCTCTCTGTAGGGAGCTAATCCATTTTGGGATTTATTTGGGAGTCCAGATCAAGACCCTTGATACCCTGAGATGGCGCCGGGAGGCAGATTGTGAGTGTGACAGCCAGGACCCCAAGCAGGCAGGAAAACAGGGAGGGGCCACCTGTCTCTGCTGCTGCCATGTGGCCTGGAGTCTTAGTCCTTGAATAGCATACCTGGGTTTTACTTCTGGAAGCTCATGGCCGCCGGGGTTTCATCCGGAGTGGGCAGAAAGGGGACACCCACTCCATCTGAAGTGCCCCCGTCGAATTGGCTCGGTTTGGGGTCTAGAGCGGTCTCTAGCGAGTGGCTGTCTTCTGGGATTCACTGCTGTGTCCCTTCTTCCCTGTTGTCCCTTCTTAATGATCCCATTTAAAGAAGGGCAATTAGAAGGGCAGGATTTAGATTGCCTAATTTACCTGTACAGCAGAGCCTGGCAAGCTCCCTGGGGCGTATTCGATATGCTAAAAACAGTAACAATAACAGGTCTCATTCCCCTGACCCTGGAAGAGCCTCCAATATAGCACCATTGGGAAGGACGAGTCAGGGGAGGCTGGGACGAATGGCACCTGCTCGAGCAAATTGATGAACAACAGGATGACAGTGATACAGTGATACCCTCTTGTTACTGTAGTTAGGAAGCAGATTTGGAGAAATGAGTTGACTTGCCCACATGGTAATGAAGTTGGGAATGACACTGTAAATTGGACAGGAAAAAAAAAATTTATTAGTACCCACCTGACATAATATGGTTTCAAGTGGCTCTCACCCTAATTTGTCATCATCTCCCCTTTTTTGTCTGTTTTTGAGCAAACCTGGCAGTGCTCAGGGCTTAGTCTTGGTTCTGTGCGTAGAGATCACTCCAAGTGGGACTCCAGAGATCATAAGGGGTGCTGAGCACTGAGGATAGAACCTGGGTCAGCCATGTGTCACACAAATTCCCGAACCCACTCTACTATCCATCCGGCCCCTCGTATTTTTTTGTTTTGTGGCGTAAAGCAGGATTAACATTAATAGGAGGCCTGGGAAATATTGATGGGCTGACTTAGGTTCAATCCCAGCACTACAAGGAGCAATCCTAAGCATTGCAGGGTGTAAGCCCCCATCAAGATCATTATTTATTGTGAGTTCGCAAAATGTATGGATGCTGCATGATGTGTGTGTTCAGCGAGTGAGATGGAGGATCACAGCCTGATGGTGAAAATGGCCTGTTTAATGCAGAGCTGCTAGCATAATTATAGAACATCTGAGTTGGGTTGGGGTGGGACATAGGTATAATTGTTCATTTACAGAGATAAGCCACTTGGCAGAGGCAGTTTTCTTGGGGAGATTAACTCAAGGAGACACTCTGTCTCCCAGGGTCATCCACATTGCTTTTGTCATTCCTTCTAGTATACTTGTAGTTGTTTGGATAAAACACAGTGAGAGACAAAGATCCCAAAACTTAGGTCTCTGGGCTCTGAGAGCAAGCAAGGCTTTCACTATAAATCCCAGACTAAGTCTCCTCAGACCAGGTCAGCTAGTCCTTCCCTATGGGAGTCCTGTCTCTTAAGTCATAGCAGCTTGCATCAAAACCATGCATTTGTGGCTGGAGCGATAGTACATTTCCCTTGCACTCGGCCGACCTGGGTTTGATCCCAGGCATCCCAAGTGGTCCCCAAGCACTGCAGGAGTAATTCCTGAGTGCAGAGCCAGGAGTGAGCCCTGAGTATTGCTGGGTGTGACCCAAAAAGGAAAAAAAAGCATTTTTGCTTTCTAGACTGTCTCATTTCAATGCCGGGGTAACTTTGCCACTTGTCCTGGGTCCGCACCAGTCCTACAGTGGGACCTCCCTTTTCAGGTGTTAGAAACTGTAGCAAATGAAACCTGAATTGGGTAATTATGACGTATGCCCAGGAGTACATACATTTCAGAATCAATCAGCTCCCAAATATTAGGAGCATAGCATTAACGGCCTTTCTGTGTTTAACCAAAGAACACTGCTCTATAGTCAAATATAAAAAGGCAATAGGGAAAATAGAAAAGCACATACAAATACACAGCACTTCAAGTACAGATCACCAGAAAGTCCAGAATTACCAGAAAGTTTTGGCTTTTGAGTAATCAAGACTGACTTGGGGAGCTGAGACAATGAGAGGTTAAAGATAAACTTTAACTAAATCAGGAATGCTAACAAGAGCACGGCAAGCTTTTCTGTGAGGAGGAAACAATTCACTGATGAAGCCTAAAACACTTGGGGTCAATGTCCAACAATATATGGAAATGAATTGACATGAATTTGGGATATTTATGTATAACTGGAGACTTGGTTGAAAAGTCTTTTATTCTCACAATCAGGTCACACAGGTCCTCTCACTAAACGTTTAATTCATTTCACATATAAAAAGGTTTACAGTATATAAGTTTTAAAACCTAGTAGAGTGTATGCTTGTAAACTTATCTCCAATTCAAGAACTAGAGCATACCACGTGTGAAGAAAAGAGAATTGCTTTGTTTCACTTTGGGTTGGGGCCACATCCAGCAGTGTTCACGGCCTTCTCCTGGCAGTGCTCAGGACACTGGACTGGAGCAAGGAGATCAGACCTCTGACCAACACCTTACACTGTCTCTCCAGCCCAGATACACAGACTTTTCATTCTAGTTTCTCTGGTCTGATCTGTTTACCTAGTTCTACTCTCTTTCAGTGGATGAGTGTTTATTAGACGTACCCGATAACTTGGGTACTTAGAGAATTTTCCTGATCTAACCTTGGTATAAGAGCCCAGAAGGAAATTAGAGCTTTAAATCAGATTATAGGACTGCTTGGAGTAAAATTGGTCAGTTGGCATTTCTCTTGAACTTTGCCCTTCCACAGACATCTCCTTTCTGTTACATTCCCTTTGGTTGAAATTTCAGCAAAGCACAAGAGTCTTAGAATCTCAAAGAATATTAAGTCAAACTGATATTCGGGAAATTATTCCCAAGTGCTAGCACAGAATTCATCTCTGCATATTATTGTTCGGCTGCCAAGAAGAAATTGCTCTTTCATATGCTTTGAGCAATACTAACATAGGTTACTCACGAATTTAGAGAGTTTGATGTTAACCTTAGGGGGCAACTTTTTTTTTTCCCTTTTTCTTTTTGGGTCACACCCAGCAATGCACAGGGCTTGCTCCTGGCTCTGCACTCAGGAATTACTCCTGGCGGTGCTTGGGGGACCCTATGGGATGCTGGGAATCGAACCCGGGTTGGCCGAGTGCAAGGCAAACGCTTTACCCGCTGTGCTAGCGCTCCAGCCCCAGGCAACTTCTTGAGAGCCTAAATAGAATGGCTCCTTTCAGAATGAGGGTGACAAGGGTGGAAAAATTCCCATTGAATGAAGCAGGTGTTCAGTTGGCCAGCGGTTCTGCTTACCTGCCTCTTCCGTTCCATTCCCTCCTAGGACTTCCTGATCATGTTTGTCCATCACTTGGCCACCATCGGGCTCATCACCTTCTCCTACATCAACAACATGGTTCGGGTGGGAACTCTGGTCATGTGTCTGCATGATGTCTCAGACATTTTACTGGAAGTAAGACTCTAACCCCTCTTTCCTCATTTTCCTCGTTTCCTCTCCTTCTCCCCCTTTCTTTCTTTGTTAAAAGTGCCTTTCTCCCAATGCAGTTTTTCCCCCTACTTTCTCTAGGCAGCCAAGCTGGCCAATTATGCCAAGTATCAGCGGCTTTGTGACGCACTTTTTGTGATCTTCAGTGTTATTTTTGTGGTCACTCGTCTAGGAATCTATCCATTCTGGTAAGTATTCGGGTGATTGGCTCTGTGGTAGGTTTGTGGCTGGTGACAGTTTTGGGGGACGTTAGGGAGCTGACCACCAAAAACCCAATTGTCAAGCAGGACAATTAGTCCGGCTTTATCTGACTCTTAATGGACTCTCTCTAGTCCTTAGTTTCCTCCCATAATATTTCTAGTGAGGCATGATCCAGACTCAGAGGATCTAACTTAACTTGGCTATTGCTTTTCTGTCTTTTAAGAAAACTCATCTTATGCCTTTGTTTTCTTTTGCACTGATTAAAAAAAACAAAAACAAAAACAAAAAAAAAACAACCTCGCTCTTCTCACTTGTTTCCCTGCTCTGTTTTGTGTTTTTTAGTTTTTGTTTGTTTGTTGGTCCATACCCAGTGGTGCTCAGGAGCTATTCCTGACTCTGCTCAGAAGTTACCCCTGGCGGTATTCTGGGAACCGTGTGTGGTGCCGGGGATTTGAACCGGGGCCAGACCTATACAAGGCAAGTGCCTTAACCCCTATACTATCTCTCAGGCCCCTATTTTGTGTTTTCTTTGTGCTGGGTTTTCTTTTTTTTCCTGTCTTGCAGTGCTGGGGATCCAGCCCAAGGCCTTGCACACACCAGGCAGTTGCTATACCACTGAGCTTGTTTCCCTGCTCTGTCTCTGGCCCGTCCTACCCAATACACACACATTCTTTCTCTCCCCTTCACCTTTTCTCCCCCTCTCCTCTCTCTCTTCTCCTCTCTCTCTCTCTCTCTCTCTCTCTCTCTCCCTCTCTCTCCCTCTCTCTCCCCCCCTCCCTCCCTCCCTCTCTCTTTTTCCTTACCTTCACCTACTACTTTAAGCAAAGACAGCAATGCCATGGGTTGATGATTTTTGCCTCGACTGGGGCGTTTCTTTTTGTACCTGATGATCTGAGTGATTTCTAGAATCATGATCCTATTGTCCTGATTTTTAAAACCGCACATTGGAAACAACTAAGACAGTAAGAGTCCAGGAGATGGCTCAGAGGGTTGGAATTCATGCATTGCCTGCAGGATTTGATTTCCCCCAGGCCCACGTGATCCCCCACACACACTGTTGGGGGAGTGATCCCCAGCAACATGCCATAAGTTGCCTCCAGCAGTGCTGGGTGTAGACCAACTCCCCGTGTTAATCTTGCTCCAGAAAATGAAAAATATAAGAATATGGTATCCTTAGGAATATAGGAATCCTTCATTTCCTATGATTGATGTGTTTCCCCCATTCCTCAAGATAAGAATTTTTGTGGGTCTCCTTAATCTTCTTACTGTAGACACACTACTAAGAAAAGTTATGGGGAGAGAACACGTAGGACTCTGATTCCCAAGGAACACAGCTTCATATCTATCTGCCTGACCTTGACTCTAGCGCCTGACCATTGACCTTCTCTTCTAGGATTCTGAACTCAACACTCTTTGAGAGTTGGGAGATTATCGGACCTTATCCCTCTTGGTGGCTCTTCAATGGCCTTCTCCTGGTCCTTCAGGTTCTGCATATCATCTGGTCCTACCTGATTGCACGAATTGCTTTCAAAGCTTTGATCCGAGGAAAGGTAAGGATCTGACTTCTTTCCTTGTTGTTGAGAAGGAAAGTAGAACCAGGAGTCAGGTGGTCAGTAAATTTTTTCTTTCTAACCTGGTTATTCCCATTTGCCAAACATCTACCGAAAAGCCTAGGGTTCCTTACTTTTTGGCTTTTCTATGACTTGTTACCTTTAATGACTTAGGCAAGAGTAAGAATCTGATTTCTTCTCATTCCTTAGAAATTCACTGTTACTGAGCTGGGGAGAATCCCTAACCTCACATATGTTCCTCTTAACACTGCCAGGCATGGCCTTAAACCCATTCTGCCACCTCCTAGCCCCTCAAAATAAAAGAGATAGACATTAAATAATGAACAAAAAATAATGAAAAGAAGGAATGGATAAACTTTTGAAGATCATACTTGAGTAGGGGGTTTGTGGTAGTGAAGGGCATGTCACTCGCCAGCCTGAGTTTGGGTCCTGTTGCACACTTCTGCTTTTGAGGGCCCCTGTAGACATCACTGAGGAGTTGCTGTCCCTGGACCACCCCATGAGATGTGTTCAAAGCCCCATCTGGCTCCTCCCTGTGCCACTAGCAATTGGGGGCCAGTGAACATCACACAGTGAACACTCTGTGAGGGTACCTCTCCCAAGAGCAACAAAAGCACCTTTGGGGCCTTCTGGAAATCTGCGGCCATGCGATATTTCCCTCTTCCACAAGACACAGAAAGAAAATTTGACCCTGGCAGTAAATTTACAAACTATCAACAGGCACAGTGCAGAACCCCAGCATACTCAGTGAAAATAGTAGCCCTAAAAACTCAACCAGTACTAACCAGCTGTATAACTTCTCTAAGGATTTCAGAGAGGGAATGTTGAGGGTATGTAAGGGGCTCAAAGAAACAATGAAATAGACCACCAGTAAAACACAAGAGAGAGGATATGAGAAAACCACAAGTAGAAATGGCAGAACTAAAGAATTTGGCAGGTGAAATAAAGAAGACTCTTTGGAAGGCCTCAGCAGCAGAGTAGCTGAGGACAAAATTGGTTTGCTCCAAGATGAGATGCAGAAAACCTCCAAACAACAAAAACTGGGGGTGGGGGTGGGGGAACACCTCAAAATGAACAACGGACAAGAGAACTCTGCAATGAATTCAAGAGAAACAACAGTGGGAGAAAAAGGACCTTCATTCACTGCTGGTGGGAATGTCAGCTGGTTCAACCTTTTGGAAAAAAATAAGGACATTACTCAAAAACCTAGAAATTGAGGGGGCTGAAGACATAGTGCAGTGGGTAGGGTGCTTACTTGCATGCAGCCAACCCAAATTCAATGCCTGGCATCTTGCATGGCCCCCCAATCACCACCAGGAGTAACACCACAGAGCCAGGAATAACCCCTGAGCATTGTTGAGTGTGGCCCAAAAACAAAATACAAAAAAAAAAAAAAAACCCAAAAACCAGGAATTGAGCTTCCTCATGACCCAGCAATTCTCCTTAAAATATACCCCAAGGGCCCAAAATCACAAATACAGAAAAGACATCTTCACTCCTATATTTATTCCAGCACTACTCATAGTCGCCAAAATCAGGAGACAACTGAAGTGCCCAGGAACAGATGACTGTATGTATACACAATGGCCTAGTACTTGACCATGAGGAAAGATGAAGTCATGCAATTTGCTGATACCTGGATGGATCTGTAGAGTATCATGCTGAGTGAAATGAGGGGGACAGAAACAGAATGATCTCACTCCTACATGGGGTATAAAGAAGCATAGTAGGGGGATAACTAATGTCCAGAGACAACAGAAATGAAGAGCAGGAGAACTGGTACTTATTGCCACCGGTGTGGGGGTCAGAGGTGGGGTTGATCAAGGAAGGGACCACTACAACAGTGATGAAGAAAAGTGGCCACTGTGGGTGCTGAAAGGACGTAAAGTGAAATGCATGACCCCTTATCAGTAACACTATTGTGAACCACAGTGCCCAGAAGGCAGAGAGAACAAGTAAAAAGTGCTGGACTTGAGGGAACCGGGGACATTGTTGAGGGGACTGGTGTTGGAAGCTGTACACCTGAAACCCAATCAGGAATAGCTTTGTAACTTTGTAATTCATGGTGATTCATTTTTGTAATTGAAATTGTAACTTTGTAATTCATGGTGGGCTGGAGCCATAGCACAGCTGTAGGGTGTTTGCTTTACAAGCGGCCAACATGACCGACCAGAGTTCGATTCCTCCACCCTTCTCGGAGAGCCCGGCAAGCTACCGAGAGTATCTCGCCCGCACAGCAGAGCCTGGCAAGCTCCCCGTGACGTATTCAGTATGCCAAACACGTAACAACAAGTCTCATGATGGAGACATTACTGGGCCCGCTCGAGCAAATCGATGAATAACGGGAAGACCGTGACCGTGGTGATTCATTTCACAATCACAATCACAAATCATCCTGTTATGCGTCGATTGCCTCGAGCAGGCCCCAGTAACATCTCTTTCATCCTAGCCCTGAGATTATATTCAAGGCTCTTTAGGAGAATGAGACCCATCATTGTTACTGGGATTTGGCATATTGGGTACGCCACGGGGAGGTTGCCAGACTCTGCCGTGTGGGCAGGCTACATTCGATAGCCTGCAGGTTTGTCCAAAGTAGGAATGAGATAATAAGATGCCATAATAAGATGTCCGGTTCCGGGAGCTGGTTTTTATAGTCTCTGAGTCTTGGCCATTGATGGGATTACACGGCGCCAGGGGGCCAGTTGGTGGGTGTGACCCCCACCTACTGGAATTTGGAGGATGCTCGGCCCAAATCCGAGTAGGCTTGGAGATCTCGGCCCCGGAACCCGCATGGCTTTGTCCCTCTGCCAGTACCTTCATGTGTGTGGAGAGTGGTCTCGGCATGGTGGTGGCTGGTCCTGGAGGTCCTCATTTAAAAAAATAAATAAAAGGAATAGCATAAGAATTACCAGTGTCTCTGCAGTCCAAGAAGGCGATTCCCATGAAGAAGAATTAAATCATCACTGAGAAGTTTCTAGAACTCAAGACCCAGATTCAAGAGGCCTTAAGGGTACCAGGTAAAAGAGGCCCAAATAAAAACACTCGAAGACACATCCTGATCAGAATGAAGAAAGCCGAAGAGAGTGAATAATGAAAGCAACAAGGTCAGCAATGGAAACCACACACAAAGGCACATCCTTAAGATTTACAGCAGAGATATCAAATGAGACCCTGTGGGCCCGAGGGCAGTGGTGGGACATAGTTGAACACTTCACCAAGAATACCATACCCAACCAGGCTCTCATTCAGAATACCTCTACCATTTTCTGTACCATATACATACATGTCCTCTTCTACGGATTACTTTCTTTTTTTTTTTCTTCTTAGGGCCTCCTTTTCAAAGAAATTATATGCACAACTCCAGGATAAAAACTTACGAAAGCAAAGTTATTAGATTGCTGGGAGCGCTATAAGAGTTCACGTGCCACCCCAGTGACCACTCTGGTGTTCAAGATAGGTTGGTGTAAGGGACTAAGTAGCAGCCTCCCTCTCTGTTTTAAGAGGCAAGGGTCCTAAGTGAGATGGGTTAGTAGGATTTCAGATAGCCTATGTGCCCAAAAGCACAATGGAAAGTTTTATTAGCAAAATTCAAGAGGCTGGGTTCAATTTCTGGTGTCCCATAGGGTTCCCGGATCACTAGCAGGAGTAATTCCTGAGTGCAGAGCCATGCATGAGTAACCCCTGAATATCACCAGTTGTGACCCAAAAGCTTTAATAATAATAATAAAGCCAGCTGAATTTTGCAAATTCAAGACAATCAAGTTATGAGCAAGGGCAAGGATTTAAACCTTCAGGAGAACAGAATCTCAAGGAGATGGGGTTCTGCTGGAGGACGCACTGATTCTGGGGCCAAGGGATGGGGTGTTACCCAGGCAATATATTCCCCCTTGTGTAACTGTTCCTTATGGCTGCGGTTGATTCCGTAACTCACCCAGTTTGCCTGTGCATCTTGCTATAGCTACTGGACATCTTTCTTTCTCCTGCTTCTCTTTCCTGACCAGGTGACCTATCCAAGAAGGATTAGACCCAGACTCTGTACTCTCCACTCTTTTCTCACCTCCTTCCTTTTTTCTATGCCTGGTGGGAGCTGGACAGTGTCATCTCTTGCATGTAAGTGTATCTGTGCTTCTCGTATTGAGTGAAGCTTGTCTGAGTGTGTTTCTCTTCCTTCCTGCTTTCCTTGCTGTTTCCCTATGTTGTCTCTGCTGACCCTGTTGAGCCTCTGTTGACTGTGACTCATATTGCTGGGTCCTTTTTCCTAAGGCAATAATAGAGTCGACTCTTATTTTCTACGCCCTTTCTTCCCCTGCACCCCGCTAACCCCACAGGGGGTATTTGAATAAACAGGTATTCGAATCAGAACCTCACAAATGCTAGGCCTTTGTTCTGCCATTACTGAACCGCATTGATCAGCCCCTACACACACACACACGTACACACACACACACACGAACCTCTACCTCCACCACTTTATTTATTTGTTGAGTTTATTTTAAAAGGCCCTCCCGTTGATCATCGATTTGCTCGAGCGGGCCCAGTAACGTCTCCATTGGAGACTTTGTTGTTACTGTGTCTGGCATATCGAATACATCACGGGGAGCTTGCCAGGCTCTGCTGTGCGGGCGAGATACTCTCGGTAGCTTGCCGGGCTCTTCGAGAGGGGTGGAGGAATCGAACTCGGGTCGGCCATGTTGGCTGCTTGCAAGGCAGACGCCCTACCCGCTGTGCTATCGCTCCAGCCCCAAGTTTATTTTTATTTTATTTTATTTTGGCAGTGTGTTACTGAGAACTGACCCCTCTTCCCTTTTCTGAGCTACCTTTTATGTCAGATTTAGACATAAATTTGCCAAAGACCAGATAATTAGTTGCCTAGGTTTATAGGTCGATAGATATATTAAATCATAATCTTAGAACTAAATCACAGGATGTATTCCAGGGACCACATAAAATATATGAGTAAGGCACTTGCCTTGCACCTGCTGATCCCAGATCAATCCTGGCTCTGCACATTATCCCCTGAGTACCACCAGGAATGATCCCTGAGCACAAAATGAGGAGTAAGCCCCAAACACCACTGAATGTGGCCCAGGCGCCTTTTTCTCTGCCCCTGCTACCTCCCCCCCCCCCCAAAAAAAAATAAATGGGCAACAGCAGTTATAACTTGGTCATGTTTCATCCCCTCTGTTCTGGAGATCTGACATAGGTCTCGCTAGTTTTCTCCCACAGCCCTCTACCCCCGCTCTGCTGCTAGAACGAGGGTCCCGCTAACACAGAGCAAGTGTTCTACTGCTGAGCCACACCCCTGCCCCCCTTTTTAGCTTATTACGGTCCATGGTAGAGACTTTGAAATACTTTGCCTGGTATGCAGGATACTTAAACTGGGAAAATACTGCTCTAATCCAAACTGTATTTTAAAACATAGCTTAGAGGACCAGAGAGGTAGTACAGTGAGTAGGGTGCTTACTTTGCACTGGCTAACTCAGGTTTGATCCCTGGCATTCTATATGGTCACCTGAGCCTGCAGGAGTGATAAGCCAGTGATAAGCCTGAGTTTAAAGCCAGGAGTAATTCCTGAACACTACCAGGTGTAGCCCAAGAGAATAAAATACAGCTTGAAAAGCAGAAGTTAAAAGGTAAAGATTTACAGGTAGTAACATGTTTGTCTTAAAATTCTTTTCTCACTGCCACCCACTTTTATTTTCAGCATACCAGTGTGTCTTGGGGGTGTCGAAGCTGCACGCGAAAGTGATCTTGCTACTAAAAGGGAGAAGAATGGAGAACGGGTGTCATAGGCTACCAGGTGTTGGGTCTAGAAAGAGCAAATTTACTCCAAAGGCTGTCCTGTGCATGAGCGTTGGGGTTTAAGTAAAACTAAAGATGACTGATACGAGTAACAACTACAGCTGCCTTAAAATAGAAGTAATGAGGGGTAAGAGAGATCACAAGGGTTGAGGCGCTTAAAGTCAGCTAAGGCAGGTTTGAGCCTTGACACCGCACTGGCAGGAGTCATTTCTGAGCAAAGGGCCAGGAATAGTCCCTGCACATTGCTCTTCCTGTATCTAAGTTAATCTGGTGGCCACCCTCCAAAATAAAGAAATGTTGATGACAGCCACATGTATTATTTTTGTCGGCCTTTGTTTTGTTTTGGGTTTTTTTTTTTTAAGGGTGTCTGGGGTTTTCATCAAATTTAAACGAGGAATCAGTGGATGGTTCAGCAGCTCTCTTTAACAGTCCTGAAAGACATATCCTTTCCAAAGCAGTTTCTTACTCCACAGAGAACCGAAATCGAGGTCATGAGAGGTAAATCCAGAAAGCAGGCGTTCGCCATAGTACAGGTAATGCTTTGAGTCAGTTGTCACAGAAAGTAGACCAAGTTAGGAACAGTGCCCAGACGTGAGTTCTGTGGGCTTTGCCTTTGAGTTTTGGAGAACTGGCCCATTCTCATCTTTCTTGCCTTTGACTTCATCTCAACCAGGTATCTAAGGATGACCGAAGTGATGTAGAGAGCAGCTCAGAGGAAGAAGATGTGTCCACCAGTGCGAAAAGGCACAGTGGTCGCAGCTCCAGCAATGGTGCCAATCGAGTGAATGGTCACGTGAGAGGCAGCTACTGGGCTGAAGAGTGAAGTAAATGCTATGAGGACCTCAGCACACATGAACTTGTAGGACCACTGGCAGCCTAGTCTTGGGCCTTCACATCGTTACTCATTTGACGAGGAGGTCTGCAAGGCACAGAGGAAAATCAAAGAAGCAAATATTTTCACTTTTTTTTTTAACTTTGCCGTTTTATATTTAATAGTCTCCAAGTTTTCAAACAAGATGTTATTTGCTGTATGTGTGTGTGTGTATGTGTGTGTGTATTTGTTTATTTGCGTGTGTGTGCATTTGTGCATATGCATGAGTTCAGTTGTCTGGGTTGGGGCACAATTCTGGACAGTGTCACTAAACCTTGCCTGGTCCATTTTTGAACCCATCTCAATCCCAGATTTGGCTGCACCTTGATTCATGCTGGCTCCGGACTGTCCCCTCCCTTACTGCCCATGGCTCTTGGGGCTCTGGCCATCTGAATGGAGCGGTCAAGTTCACTTCCAAGTTTCTGTACTCTTTCTCCTTGAGTGCTGGAATATTTCATATGAAGATGTATAGAAGCAACAGTGGATGGATGGCCAGGATTGCTGTGGTTCTAGCTAGAGCCCCTTCCTGTCACCTGCCAGTGACCTAGACAGCTGCTGAAACCCTGCTCTTTACTCAATGGTACGCAAGGAGTGGGGGGTGGGAGAGGGCGAGCTGAGGGCTGGAGGAGGACAACAGCCACTGGGTGCGCTGTTAATGGTTTATACTATTGTTTACTCTTCTATGATTAAAAGTGCTTCAACCCACCTCTCCCGTCTCACCTCTTTAGTGAGTCTCATCAATTCACCAGGTCTGTGAGCTAATGAAGAACCTTTAACGCTGGAGAAAGAGCACAGGGACTAAGGCACTTGAGTTGCATCCTGCTTCAGTCTCCAGCACCACGTGGTCCCTCAAGCATCACTCTTGGCATCCCCCCAAAACTTTTTCAGGTCTGGGACCAAACAGAAGTTCAAAATGCTAGAGCAGGAGCCCCAGATTCGGTCCCCTGGTCTCGACATGTTTCTCTGAGCACTCAGCACCTGTAGGTATAGCCCAGAAACAAAAAGGATTTTTTCAATTCAGATTCTAGAGACCTTTAGATACCAAAATGTTCTTTCTTATGCATTGCTGGGAAGAGTGTCTAGTGTTAGTTGTTGGTTGGGTTTTTTTTTTTTTTTTTGCTTTGTTTTTGTGGTGGTATGTTGTGTTGCTTGTGGTTCTGGGATCCAGCCCAGTGCCTTACATGTGAGGTATGTACTGAGGCACTAAGCCACAGTCCTAGGGCTTTATTTTTTAGGGGGAGACAGGGGTGTGTGTTTTTTCTTTCTTTTTTGTTTTTGTTTTTGTTTTGTTTTGATTTTTGTGCCACACCTCACAGTATTCAGTGGCTACTCCCAGCTTGGTGCTCCAGGATGATTCCTGGCATTATTAGAAGAAAATGTAGTGTCAGGCATTGATCCAAGGCCTTCTGCATGCAGAGCATGCACGCTCAGTCCCTTGATCCATCTCCCTAGTCCCTAGGCCTTTATGTATCAAGAAAAAAATTAACAAATACAATGACTTCAAGAAATACTGAACAGATAAAAGCATATGTGTTACTAAACCAGCAAAGATTGTGGTTGAAGAACTAGGAGTTTAGACATTATTTCCCACTTCACTGAATACAGAAGCTGCCAGTTATTTTATCAGTCAGCGCCAGGGAGCTTCAGTAGGCTGGAGGTATTGCAGGAGTCCGCACCCCCCCCACCCCCAATCCAACCATGAACCCAACCCGGTTCAGTGTCTGGCACCAGATGGTCACCTGAGCCACTTCCAGGAGTAGCACCCCAGATTGCCAGGTGTGACCCCAAATCAAGACAAATAATTGTGATAAATAAATTTAAATAGAAGTTTTTTCTTTTCAGCTTCGATTTTTACTTCTGTTTACTTTATTTGGGGGGAGGGGGTGAGGTTGGGGCCACAGCCTGCAGTGCTCAGGGCTTACTCCTGACTCTACTCGAGACCATACAAGGTGCTGGGAAATGAACCAGGATAAGTCACATCTTAACATCTCTGACCCCCACTTTTTTTGGGGGGTTGGGCCACACCTGGCAGCGCTTGGGGTTAACTCCTGACTCTGTGCTCAGGGATCACTCCTGGCACTCGGGACCATAGGGGATTCCCAGTATCAAACCTGGATCTGCTACATGCAAGCAAACACCCTACCCACTGCACTATCTGACCCCCGTTCCCCACTTTTAATCCATGGAAAAAGTCTTTCTCCAGATTTTATCTAGTTGAGGTTCTTGGCAAAATTACCACTAGTAGTTTTTACTTCTCAAATTTGCCATTTAGTGAATATTTAGGTTATCATCAAAGTATTTCCAGATATGCTCTCGGGTACATTAAGACATGGAAGAATGGGAATGTGGCCCAGTGGTCATGTGCATACTAGGCATGTGAGTCCTGTGTTCATTCTCTGGCACCACAAGAATAAATATGGGGTGCTTAATACCACAGGATGTATAAAAATGGAAAGAAAAGCGTTATAATTCTAAGAATCAGCTGCTTGATATTCACTGACATTACTGAGGGATTCCTGTTATCTTACTGAGTGACCGGGTTTGATTTTTTTGTTTTTCTCTCCCTGGTCATCAGCATTACTGAAAAGAGAAGCCAGTTCCCTTCATCCTCCCTCCCTTTCTATTTCCCTCCCTCCCTCCTGAGTCCAGCAGCAGCCTTGCCTGCACTCCATGCTTCATGTAGGGCAGAACAAAGGGCCAAGATGAGAGGGCTCTGGGTTTCACCTCCTCACACCAGAGAGTGGGCAGTGGGCTGAAGCCCCACTGGCTCCGGGCACTGAATCTCATTCATTACCACAGGCAGCGTCGCAGGTGATTTTCAAACAATGCCTGTTGTTGGCTGGGTTTTAAAAATTCTAGATGGGGCTGGAGTGATAGCACAGCGGGTAGGGCATTTGCCTTGCACGCGGCCGACCTGGGTTCGATTCCCAGCATCCCATATGGTCTCCTGGGCACCGCCAGGGGTAGTTCCTGAGTGCATGAGCCAGGAGTAAACCCCTGTGCATTGCCAGGTGTGACCCAAAAAAACAAAGATAAATAAAAACTCTAGGAAATAGGGGACATTAAGTTCCTAGAAACTAGTTGATAATGCTTTGGTCAGGAAGACTAAAGAGTTATTCTTAGATCATCAAATTGTCATATCATTAACTAGTTACTGTAAAATAGCACTGCACTGTCGTCCCATTCATCAATTTGCTCCAGCAGGCACCAGTAATGTCTCCATTCATCCCTGTCAAGTGCTAGTGTAGCCCAGTGGCTTCTACTTGCTCCAGGAACATGAAGTGAGACTTGTAAAATATAGGGATTGTAAAATATGGGGAAAAAAGTGCTTTTGAAAGTTGGACTATTCATATTTTATCTTTTAAAATTTGAACTGGTTTGTAAATACAGTTTGGATTGGGTTGCTTAAATACTCTCACAAAAGAAACAACCAAAGATATAATAGTAAATATGTGTTTGGTTTTTTTTTTTTTCACATCTGGAGAAGTCCATGTTACATATGTATCTTTCTCTCCCCTTAATATCTCTGGAAATTTTTTTCAATAAAAACTATTTTGCAGGGCCAGAAAGATAGGTTTGGCACTTGCCTTGCACACAGCTGTCCCAGATGGTCCGCTGTGCCCCTCCAGGAGGGAAACCTGAGTGCAGAGCCAGAAGTAAACCTTGAGCACTGCTGTGTGGCCCCAAAACAAACAACTGAAAATAAAGTTGTGATAATAGGTAACACATACTGTTTACTAGGTGCCCAGTATAGATCAGGGAGGTGGCTTAAAGGAATGCAGGAGCTCACGTTTGATCCCTGGTACCACATACTCCTCTGAGCATCACCAGAAGGAACACCCTAGCACTAAGCTAGTATTAGCCCCTAAATACCACCGTGTGTGGTTTCCCCCTACTCAAAAAACTTCACCTGGGACTGGAGAGATATTACAGCATGCCATGTGGTTCAAGTTCAATCCCCAGCACCACATACGGTCTCTGAACACCACCAGGAGTGACCCCTGAGGAAGCCGAGTGAGCACAAGCAAGTGTAGCCCAACTGCCCAAAAGGGAAAGAAGTGACTTCACATGTGATGAAAATGAGTCTAAAGCCAGAAGATAGTTCAGTGGGCTGGAGCACATGCTTGGTATGTTGGAGACTCGGGTTCAGGTTCCATCACCAGCACTGCCAGGCGCTATCTGCTGCACAAAGAGCTTGTCACCCAGGTGCAGCCCCTGAATACATTAATTATAGTTTGCCTTGTATGAATGAATTGAGCTTAGGGCAAATTACGTAACAGGGCCTTGTTCTGAGAAAAACATTCTATGCATAGTGGAAAGGGAGATAAGAAATAGTGGGTTAGGGGCCAGAGAGATGGTACAGCGGCTAAGGCAAATGCAAGAAACTGACCCAGGTCCAGTCTACCACAATTGGCAGAAGTGATCTCTGAGCACAGAGCCAGGAGCAAGCTCCAAGCACCACCAGGTATAGCCCAAAAATCAGAAAAGACCAAAAAAAGGAAGGATGAATGTAGGTTAGTTGCCTTGCATGTGATTGTGGCTAACCCCATTTCAATCCCTTGTACCAAATGGTCATCTGAGTACCACATGGCCGATCCCCTGAGTAACTCAGGGAGCAACCTGTGAGCACAGAGGCAGGAGTAGTCTGAATATAATAGTATGGAGTAGCAAAGCGCCCTTTGGCCAGTTTTAGAAATGAATTGGGAAAGTTCTTGTCTGAGAAGAAAGACCCAAATCAGAGGTTAGGTGCAGATTCAGTATCTGTGAAAGAAAACTAGAAAAACTTTAAAAAGCAAGGTATTGGGCAGGAGGGAATGCGGGGACAATGATGGTAGAAAAAACACTGGTGAAGGGATGGGTGATGGATCATTGTCTAATCAATTTTAATCCTAGAATTCTATCAACCTGTTAACTACATTGATTTTTTTGTTTGTTTTCTACATTAAAAAAAATTGGGGGGCTGGAGCGATAGCACAGCGGGTAGGGCGTTTGCCTTGCACGCAGCCAACATGACCAACACAGGTTCGATTCCCAGCATCCCATATGGTCCCCCAAGCACCGCCAGAAGCAATTCCTGAGTGCATGAGCCAGGAGTAACCAACCCCTGAGCATCACCGGGTGTGACCCAAAAAGCAAAAAAAAAAAAAAAAATTTTTAAGCAAGGTTTTAGGGTCAGAAAGATAGTATAGTAGGTAGCATGCATGCCTTTGCATGTGGCCAAACTGGTCGGTCCCAGGCACCCCATAAGGTCCCCTGCCAGGAATGATCCCTGAGCAGAGCCAGAGTTAAGCCTGAGCACTGCTGGGTTTAATACACAATTCCATTAAAACACCACAGGACATCGGGTAGGGTGTTTATTTGCCTTGCACATGACCAACCTGGGTTCGATTCCCAGCATCCCATATGGTCCCCTAAGCACTACCAGGAGTAATTCCTGAATGCAGAGCCAGGAGTAACCCCTGAGCACTACTGGATATGACCAAAAAAGCAAAAAATAGAACACTATATTTTAGGGTGATTGAGTAGTAACAAAATTACTCATTTATGTAGTGGAAGTACTCCCTACTCTACGAAAGCGTTTCAAAGTTCCATTATTTATTTATATGAAATAATTTTCTAAGTAATAAAATTCTGTACAAACCACTGGGGTTGGGAGGGTGAAGTTGGAGGAATGGTAGAACATTTGCCTTGCATGTGGCCGACTCAGATTCAGTCCTGGCACCCTATCTGGTCCCCTTCATTTGCCAGGAGTAATTGTGTGCACAGAGCCAGCAGTAAACCCTGAGCACCAATGGATATGGCTAAAAACAAAAAAATAAGTGATTGAAAAGATACTACTGCACAGCTGACCCAGGTTCTATCCCTGACACCCCAGATGATTCCCCAGCCTGCCAAGAGTGTTCCCGGAGAACAGAGCCAAGAGTAAGCACTGAGCATAGCTGGTGCTAACCCTCTTCCAGATGTTTAAGTTCACGATCCGATCCTCCTGTTTTTCGTCGATTGCCTCGAGCAGGCACCAGTAACGTCTCCTTCTTCCTAGCCCTGAGATTTTTAAAAGAGCCATATTCAATGCTCTTTCACGGCTAGGAGAATGAGACCTATCATTGTCACTGGTATTTGGCATATTGAGTACGACACGGGAAGTTTGCTAGACTCTGCCGTGCAGGCAGGATACTTTCGGTAGCCTGCCGGGTTCTCCAAAGTAAAAATGAGATAAAGTTTAAGTTAAAAGAATAAATTGGGGGCTGGAGCGATAGCACAGCGGGTAGGGCGTTTGCCTTGCACGCGGCCGACCCGGGTTTGATCCCCAGCATCCCATATGGTCCCCTGAGCACCGCCAGGAGTAACCCTGTGCATTGCCGGGTATGACCCAAAAAGCAAAAAAAAAAAAAAGAATAAATTGTTCGGCAGGCAAAGCACATTTCATGCACTTTGAATTCACTTTGAATTCACTCTTCCTGTGAAACTATCCGGTCCAGTACTATGATCTCTGATCTAAACTAAGTTCTTCAGATTCTAGATCAAGTATTAATGCTAGGAGATATTTTTAGCTCCATAAAACATTTTGTGCCTGCTTTATGATAAACACTGTGGCAGAAACTGGAGACGCAAAGATGAGCCAGATCTGGTTTCTAACCTCAACTCATTTCTGTGGTTAGTGGGGGAAAGATAATACAATGTGATAAGAACTACTTAAAATTATTCTTGGCAAGAAAGAAAAGTTGAAAGTATAACTGAGCAATTAAATATGAACAGTTTCGCTAGGACAACAAAAAAATGAAACAGTGTTATGTTTAGAAGAGATGTGAGAGAAACTTCTGGATGTTAATAACCTGAGACGGACATTGAAATGGTAGAGTAAGCTGTTTTTTTTTTAAAGATTTTTTTTCTTGTTTAATTTTTTGTTTTGTTTGAGGATTGCACATCCAGAGAGACAGGGATTACTCCTGGCTCAGCACTCAAAAAATTACTTTTGGTGGTGCTTGGGGAGACCATCTGGGATGCCAGAGATTGAACCTCAGGTCGGCTGCATGCAAGGCAAGCACCCTATCTGCTGTATTCTCCAGCCCATTGTTTAATTCGAATGAACAATTGAAGAAATACAAAAGACAATAAAAAGGACTGAGTGTGGAGAATGTATAGCAGGTACTTGTCTTGCACGCGGCCAATCCGGGTTCAATCCCCAGTATCCCATTGGTCTCCCGAGCTTGTGAGGAGTAAACCCTGAATGCAGAGTGAAGGAGTAAGTCCTGAACACTGCCAGGTGTGGCCCCCCCCCACACACACACACACACTCCTTGAGGCAAAAAAAAAAACTTGAAAACTAAGCAGGAAGCAAAACAGTCAGTTACTAGAGAGATAAGGGGAGTAAGAGCCTGGGCGATCCCTAGTACCACTTCTTGCTCTGAACACCACTGGGAGCAACCCTCATGCGCTACCAGAGGTGCCTCTAAAACTGGCCCCAAAACTTCCCAGAAAAAGAGAAAGAAAGCAACTCCTTGGGCTGGAGAGACAGCACAGCGGGTAGGGCGTTTGCCTCGCACGTGGCCGACCCGGGTTCGAATCCCAGCATCCCATATGGTCCCCTGAGCACCGCCAGGAGTAACTCCTGAGTGCAGAGCCAGGAGTAACCCCTGTGCATCGCCGGGTGTGACCCAAAAAAGCAAAAAAAAAACCCAACACCTTTAGTGAAAGGGGAACAACTGGGGTGGAAAAAGACTCAACGGACTTGAGGAACTTGAGAGTGTTTTTGTTTGCAGGATTCCTGGATTCATCCTGGCACTAAAACCACTGCATGTGACACCCCCAAAGAAATGTAGCCAGTTA